TTTTTATAGTCAATATTCATTGCATTGTTAGCCAATTGGAAGAATTGAAATCCATTCAAAAGCATCCAAACAAATGTCGATAAAATTGAAAACAACAATAACATTGACATTACTTCACAAACTTCCTGTAAATAACATTTAAAACAAGTTAATTATACAGTAATTTAATATAATAGAAATACAATTACCAAGCATTCTTTTCTATCCATTCCTATAATAATCATTAAATTGGTAATCAATAGACAAATACATAAATTAATTACAAAAAAGTCTTGTTTTTCCAAAAATCTTAAGGTGTGCTCATTCTTTGCACTTCTATTTAATCTCATATTAAATAACTTTTTTCGCCACAAAAATAACAGACATATTAAGAGACTTATGATTGAAAGTCCGCAACAAATATATGTGAATATATTTTTGCCAAAACTATTATCTTCTCGACCGGAAGTGTCCATAAGAGCCGCAAAATTAGTCAAATGATTGCATTCACAGACAGTTATCTCACGATTGGATTCACTCTCTATTACATGACATCCATCTGATGACCACTTCTTGTGATCAAAGTCCCAGAAAACACACTCAACTCTATCGCCCAAAACCAACCGATTCTTATGTTTTAAACTATTTATGAATTAAAAATTATTAAAATAATTTACAAATAATTTTTCAATAAATACCTAATTCTCACATTAGATCCATCGCTGAATTCATGACTTTTATTAGCATTTCTAATATTAAACGCAATTATATTGCTATTAATTTGTGTGTCAATCATACCATCACTTAAATATTGTCCCAATTTATCGATAAGTGTTCCCAAAGAGGTATCCTTTACACACGAATACATCTCATCATCCCTTCCCTCGTATTGACTACTATTTGATATAATTATTGATGAAAAGTTGTATTTAAAAGTGATTTGATCCGTTATATTAAAAATATTATTTTCAACTAAATTCTTGCTCACAAATAATACTGAATTATTTTGTGCACTTAAATAACAATTAGTGGCGAAAGCAATGGTTTGTATCAAATATAACACTTTTGACGCCAACTCTATTTTCTCACTACTATTCCCATCCATCCATACGTTTTGATCAATTATTTGACTGAATAGTGTAATAATATGTTGGGATATATTCTTAGCTATTATTGGTTCAATAGGTTTTGTATGATTTGTTTGCAAATATGTATTCATTTTGTCAATTATTATAATCACATCTTTTAACTCTTCAATAGATTTCAAACCATTATTATAAAGTGTTTTATTCGTCAAGTCATCGATATCTTTAATAACATCTTCAATGCTATTGATATCCTTTTGGACTATATTTCGAGGAAATTTGTTATTCGTAATTAAAATATCGTAATAATATAAAGTAACTAGGACATAATATTAACACGGTAATAAATTGCATGGTATTAATATTAATTTAGTTTGTTTGAGTGAAATGAAAGCGAATTCATAAATAAATTACATTCAAAATCTTGGACTAAATGAATACAATTTTAGTATAAATATAAAAATATAATTAGAATATTAGGTTTCAATGCATCAGAAATTATTTGTTACAAATTACAGTAAAATAATTTAATAATAACTTAATTATAACACAATATCATTCATTTAAATTATTTTACTGTTCAGTATTACACATATGAAAACTATGTTGTAATACATTTTAGTAGTAAGTGATTATTAGCTGTGATTGTGTTGTATAGCTTTCTCTCTCTCCCTCCCTCTCCTCTCGACTGTATTTTTAATATATATTTATTATACGACTTTAGCCGACAAAATGGTTTATTGAGACAGACAGTCTGTCCCCTCACCTAACTCTTGATTGTAAAACTGGATACAGTATTAATACTACAAGTGATTCAAATATAACTATAGTATTTGATAATCTACAAACTTGGATCAAAGGTTGAACTTGGTGTTGGACCAAAACTTGTAGTGGGATTTGGTTCCCAATTGAAATCCCAAATTGATGTTGAACTATCGGAATTGAAATCACAATAAGCCAGCACACGGGATTCATATGAACTTCTTTTGGACAAAAGCCAATTAAATATATCCTTGTTTTCTAAGCTACAGTTTATAGGGTTGTCAGTCATATCCAGTATAGTATCTTTATTATTATTTAAAATTAATCCAAAATCCTTTTCTCGTATGTAATTAAATTCATTTCTTGCTAAATATTTACAAACAAATTAATATTAAATATGAATGTAAACAGACACAATTTTGTAATATACCCAATTTGATGTGATACTGTCTTTTATTTTCATCCAATACCCCAAACGCATCTTTCTTTAAACTCTGTTCATTCAATTGAGTATTTTCTAAATTAATCGTCATTTTCGGACATTTATCATAATTTTCCCATTTTGCAACGTCAAATGCTAGATTACCAATTGACACGATTTTCTGCCCTTTAAACTCTATTAATTCAATGTGTTTGTCCGTATTTATAATATTCCCCGGTAATGACAACGTGAAATTCCCAACAAAACTCAATTCAGTTAGTTTGAAAGGATCGGGCTCAATATCAAATAACATCTCTGTTATCGTATGCTCAATCTTATTATCTAGGGTAATACTTAATTTCCGTAAACCATCATTGATATTTCTAATTGCATCAATAGCATTGTCAATGGTTAATTCGGTTCCCTGAGTGCCCAATATATGTAATTCTTCAATAATTTCTATACTATCAAAAGCATTTTTATCGATACTTTTCAGATTATTGATGTCTAGTTCCAAAACCTTGATTCTTGATCCAAAAGGAATTAGAGAGTTCTCGATCTGACCACCAATTATAGGCCCCGACCATTGAATAGTGTTATACGAGAAACTTTGGGTTTTCCAAATTACTTGACTCAGCTGTTCACTGATATCCATTTCCACATCAGTCATGCATTTTACCCAATCACCCCTAGCATAATCACAAACACCAACATGCTCGTGAAGTGTTATATTATTAGTTGAATTACTGCCATCAACAAGTAATATATTATGTAATATCATTAAAACTACTTTAAATAAAATTAATAAAACTAAATTGAACATTTCAACATATATATCTAACTATAACAATTATTTAATTAGTAATTAATATAGAACTTCACACTGAAATTTTTATTCAATAATTTGTTTTGAACCTCAATTTTTTTTAAAATTAATAACATTTATTAACAATATTTAATTTCTTTTTTCTTTTAATTTTTACATCTTATATATTTGACTGATCAATATAAATTACTGCAACACTTCAGTGTCTTATATAACAGTTGCCGCCTAAAACTTATTGATAATTGATCTTGTTTCAAGTGTTATAATATTACATTAAGGAAATGCATGAGTGTTTCAGTAAATAATTGTTTCAAGTATTTGCATGTATTGACTGGTAATCTATGAAAGCACTTCACTTTCATTTAACCGTTTATTCATTTCTCACTTCATATGAAATCTTATATAATTTCATACACTATTATATGCGCAATCAATTGATCCAGCTAGTGATCTATGCTTAGTGTACATGATAATAATGAACTCTTTACAATTGATTTTCTTTATCCGTAATAAATATTTGCTCAAGACATTTCATTGAACTTCAATGAAATGCGAATAACATATCAATCAAAAATCCAGTACCGTATATGATATTATTAAATGTAAAACTATCTAATTTGTCCAAAACATAATTTATTTCATAACAAGGGATTTAAATAATCTTATTTATTTGTCATTCAATTAATTTATGAAATAAATGTAAATGTAAAAGTCATCAAATTTACGTGATTTCTCTAAATAATGTCATTAATATTGGCAAATGGTAGCATTATTATGTTACATCTGATAGTAAAATAAAAATTACAGAAAATAACATGTTAAATGAGAATATGTCTGACAATGAGATCTGATTCGCCATAACTATCAAACTGTTTGTCCATTAAACTGATGGTGCCTTTAGTGAGTCGTCCCGGACTATAGTAATAGTTATAATCGAGTGAACGAATCGTTTCAAACAAATCAATGTTTGTGCGATTGGTTTGACTTAACATTAACTCCACTGCAAGACGGCATACATTGGAGCTGAATAATTAACGTTAATAAATAATTAAACATTTTAACTTAAAATTCTATTCAAAACTTCTTACATTGAATTAATACTTTAAAGCTAATATGAAAACAATTTATATTATGCATTATAACTGGTCATGATTGGCTATACACTTTATACAGTATTTATATATTCTGCTTAAGTTTTCAAATTTTCTAAACCTATTATGATTTATTAATCACTAAAAATTACTGTAACACTTGAGTCTTATATAACAGTTGCCGCCTAAAACTTATTGATAATTGATCTTGTTTGAAGTGTTATAATATTATATTAAGGAAATGAACAAGTGTTTCAGTCAATAATTGTCTCAAGTAACTCAAGTTATCTCAAGTTATTTGCATGTATTGACTGGTAATCTATGATTTCCCTTTCACTTCACTTTCATTTAACCGTTTATTGATTTCGCACTTCATATGAAATCTTATATAATTTCATACACTATTATATGCGCAATCAATTGATCCAGCTAATGACCTATGAATTACCTTAGTGTAAATGATAATAATTAACTCTTTACAATTGATTTCCTTTATCCGTAATAAATATTTGCTCAAGGCATTTCATTGAACTTCAAAGAAATGCGAATAACATATCAATCAAAATCCAGTATATTATTATTAAATGTAAAACTATCTAATTTAGCCAAGAACATATTTTTCAATAACAAGGGATTTAAATAATCTTATTTATTTGTCATTCAATTAACTTATGAAATTGATGTGAATGTAAAAGTCATGAAATTTATTTGATTTCTCTAAATATTATCATTAATATAATACATTATATTAGCAAATGTTACATGTTACATTATTATGTTACATTCGATAATAAAATAAAAATTACACAAAAAACATGTTAAATGAGAATATGTCTGACAATGAGATCTGATTCGCCGTAACTATCAAACTGTTTGTCCATTAAACTGATGGTCCCTTTGGTGAGTCGTCCCGGACTATAGTAATAGTTATAATCGAGTGAACGAATCGTTTCAAACAAATCAATGTTTGTGCGATTGGTTTGACTTAACATTAACTCCACTGCGAGACGGCATACATTGGAGCTGAGGGTACAGACTATGTGATCGCATTCACTCAACATCCAGACATCACTGATCAGGTCCACAGTCGCCGTATCGGTAAACCTCCTATACGTCTGAGCCCTCATTGAGTGCAATGGATTTCCCTTAAAAACATAGCCCTTCTCTCTATAGGGTGTAGTCTCCAGTTCCCACACATAGGGGTCATCGGTCGCCAAATACACTATTCTTGGCGTCAATTCATTCACAAAATTTCTTTCATTCATTGCATCGATTTTATTGTAAAAGTCGTCCACATATGACATGTACTCATCCAACGGGTGGAAGTCAGCTTCGGTACCTATTTTGTCTGTCCGTCGCACATGTATTCCCACAATTGGATGCCTGAAACTAATTGTCTGTTTTAATTGATCCAAATGTCTGCGAAACTGATCCGTCGGTCGCATTAAATACTGCAATATATAGCCCACAAACGGCACGAACGGGCCGTCGGTTAAGGTCTCCAAAGTGTTGGACACGTCTTCCGGGACCTCTAATAACACAAACTTATTGTTCCCAGAAATAGGATAATAAATCACTTGAAAGTCGTGTATATTTGAAACTTTAGACTTTTGCCAAACAGTATTGTTATCGCCGGTAGAGTTGACACATGTTTTGCTCAGAGGTTCAAACACTTTCTCAAAC